CGCCAGCCCCGCCAGCCTCTCCAGCAAAGCGGCCACCTCCGCTATCTCCATCACGTCCAGCGACAGTGAATGTGACATCTGAGCCGAGCGCCGCCGCCAGAGACGCGGGGCCACGCGGTGCTGCCAGCCCCGCGCCGCGGGGCTCCGAGCGCGGCCCGGACACGCGCCGACCCTTCCGGCCCGCGGAGACTGCGTTTAAAAAGGAAAAAAAAAAAGAAAGAAAAAAGAAAAAAAAAAAAGAAGGGATAAAAATCGTTGTCGCCTTTACTTCTACCGGATTTGCGGAACTGACGTCTCGGAAAAAGAAAAAAAAAATCACGCGAAACAAAAACCACACAAAACGAATGCCAAGTTGCAAAATGTCTGAGCGCCTTCCCTCATCCCACGGGGGTGTTTCCTGCCGAGAAGATGCCGTCCTTTTGGTTGGATTTTGCTTTACTTTAAAGGGTTTTATATACATATATATATATATAATGTTTATTTACTTATTTAAGGGATTGCTATGGTAGATTTTTTTTCTATTATTATTATTAATTATTTTTTTTCTTTTGCTTGTTCTCTGTGTGCACAGGTGACTTGTAGAGCATGTGCAGGACGAAACTGTATGAAGCAGCCTAAAAGCATAATAAAATATTTGGTGAACGACCCTCGGATCTGCTTTGCAATGGCAGTGCCGCCCGCCAGCTTGGGCAGAGCAGCTCTCCGAGGCCACGGGCTTCCCACGTCCGGCTTGGCAGGAACCGAAATATCCGCGGGATCGGGACCGGGGGGTTCGGGATAGGCGAGGAGGGGAACCGGGAGCAGCGGCGGGGGGCCGGGCCACGGGCGGCGGGGCATGAAGAGGGCCCAGGGAAGGGAAGAAGCGAGGTAGCAGGGAAGGAAGGAGCCGTTGCATCTATTCCTGGGCTTCTCCTTGGAAATTCCAAGGCTGGGAATCCTTGGAAATTATCGGGGAGGCTCTGGGGGGAGGCAGGAGAAGAAAAGAGGGAGAGAATTGCACGGGCACAGCCCAGGCGGTGAGGCCAAGCGCGCTTCCTCCGCGACCTGCTGGATACCAAGGGATGATGGCTGGGAATTAGGAGCCCTCCATGCGCTCCTAAGGAAGGGCCGGCTCGGGGAGCAAAATAAGCCCAAACCTCGGCCCCCAGCGGCTGGACCCGCGACACGACTCTGCTCTGCAGCGGTTTCGCTGGAGGAGCCCAAACGCCAGCTCGAAGGAGCGTGCTAAGCTTTTATTTTTTTCCCCCAGCAGAAGGATTTTATATTATACAATTTGACATTGATCTTTAAATCGCCTGAGCTGTGCTTTTTTTGTCTGCTCGGTCTCGTTGCGCTTGCTTCGCTGTCCTCAGAGAGAGCTGCCTCTGCAGTAAGCTGATTTCTCGACTTCTTTTAGCAGGGCAAGGGCACGGGGAAGCCTCGCAGCCCCGGGAAGGGCTGCAAAGCCCCCGCTGCGGGAAATGTCCCGCTCCACAGCGCCGGGAGCCGCCGGGAAGGCGCGGGGATGGGCAAGGGGGCAAAGGGGCCGCGGCCCTTTCGGCTCCGTTAATCGACGAATTACGGCCAGCCTGGAAGGAAGTGTATTCCTTTTTTTTTTTTTTTTTTTTTTTTTTTTTTTTTTTTTTTTTTTTTTTTTTTTTTTTTTTTTTTTTTTTTTCCTCGCAGGGGGACGGGGCGGGAAGCTGGTATTTACCAGCTGCGTTTCAAGTCTGTTTAGGGATAACTACTTCTCTGGCACTTCTTGCAGCGTCGGAAACGGGCAAATTCGGGAGAGGAAAATGCCTGTTTTACTCGAGCAGGGTCAGCCGGAGAAGGGAGCGAAGCTTCTTTCCACCTCGGGGCTGCCCAACTCCCTTCGGGGGCACCCAAATCTCGCCTTTTCTCTATCGCCAGAGCTGCTGCCTTTCAAATCCCACTGGTTTCGACCCCGCAACCCCGTTCCGCGCCCCCGTTTTCCCGGGCACAGCGAAATTGGAATCCGAATACGCGCAAATCCAAGACCGCCTAATTCCGTTCCTTTCCCAAGAAATGCCGCGGCGCGTTGAAATGTCTCCATTGGGATTTCCACGGGCTTAGAAGCTGCTGTTTATTCGTAGGGAATTAAGGCTTTCGGAAAGGACTTCTAAAGAGGTAGATAATTATTTGAACGCATACATTCAGCCTGTAGAAATAATAAGGAATTTCTTTCTAAGCAAGTAGCTTGGGCAGTCGGAGAAAGCGGGAATAACGTTGTTTATTTCGACAATCGTTTTAAATCGCGTTGTTCTAAGTCTCCAAAGGGAGCTATCTGGGCAGCTACCTGCATCTAACCAAAAAAAAAGGGGGGGGGGAATAAAACAAAGGAAGAAAAAAGCTATTTGCTATTTCGAAATGGTGGAAACGGCTGCGAAGGGAAAGCAACGCAGAGACCAGAAAGACCCCGACAAGGGCTGGGGCCGAGGAGCATCGCAGCAGGGGATGCACGTTGGGTGCCTCTGGCCATGCCAGTACGACCCTCGGAGGAAGAAAAATAGCTTTTTTTTTCTCTCATTTTTCCCCTTCCCTCTGCCTTTTTTTCTTTTTACATGTACTAAACCCTGTCGTTTTCATTTTTCCTCTGTCTTTTAAGTTTTTTTTTTTTTTTTTTTTTAAATACACTCACTGTAAGAGGGGGAAAAAAACCCTAGCCATCGCTTGCCACAGACTTCGGCTGCTTTAATAATAATAATAATAATGGGAGTACCTTGTATTTACATTAAACAAAACGCTCGGAGAAAAAAAAAGGGAGAAAGGTCGCTTAAAAAGTCTGCCTTGACCCCTCTCTCTCTGCCTTAACAAAGAAGGAAAAAATATTGTATCAAAAGTGAAGTGAATGGGGAGGGCGGAGGAGAGAAGCAGCTTTTCCTCTATTCAACAGGGGACGGGGTGGGGGGAGAAGAGATGTTTGAATATTTCCGTTTCTATTGAGAAGCGGGGCGGCCCCGCCAGGCCTGAATGGGCAAGTCTTGTAAGCGGCCTGGGAGGCTGTCAAACTGCTCAGAGTAATCAGTGCTAATGAAGGGGGCTCCTGCCCTCCCTGGCACAAAGGCTGCCTACGAGTGCTCGCCGGGCCTGAATAGCTAATAAGTTTGCAAAGCGGGAAGAGGAGCAAGCTGGCCGCAAATTGAGTTTGCGAGAGCAAAATAATAATAATAACAACCAAAAAAAAAAAAAGCTTGCAGGTTGGGGCGAGCCTGGCCCTGGTGCAGCTGGGGACAAGGGGACAGAAGGCCCCACTCATGTGGGCGCGTTGTGTTGCTGAAGGAGGCGGCCAGTGTAGGATGTGGAAAGAGCCGTGGAGATTTCTAGGGTGTTGTGGGGGCCTCGGGAAGACACCAGGGCCTTGGCAGGCTCTGCCCCACAGCTCCCTGCACCGCCGTCTCCCCTCTCCAGGTTGCAGCCGCACGCTGTCCCCGGGCTGCTCCCGCACAAGGGAGCAACTGTTCCCTGATTGCTCTGCCCACCGCCTTTTGCCCACCGCCTGACTGCAGCGTTTTCTTTGTGGAACAAGAACAACAAAAAAGAACGGGCGCCTGGAAACCTAGTGGATATTTCCCCCCAACTGCCTGGGCTGTAAGGGCTCCTTTATAAAGGGCCTTCCTTGGCATCTGTCCTGGGATCTGGCTTGCACCGGGGCTGGAGAGGAGCTGGGTTCACTAGCGAGTGTCCTTGTGTGACAAGATGATGGAGAATCTCGTGGCGGGGAGGCGGGGGAGAAGGAGCATGAGAGTGATTTGCGTTTTGGACCTTTCACGCATCCAATTAAAGGCTTGGGAGGATCAGAGACGATCTCAGATCCAGTTACCCCTGGCTCAGAGGAGTAATACCATGAGAGAGAGCATAATACTTCCCAGCAGAGGCTGTACGTGCCTCTCCATTACATCTTGCATCTCCTTCATATATTCTATATGTATATATACATCTAATATAGATATTAAATGCATATGTATGTATATATTCTTATTTCTTTCTTTTCCAGAAGAATATCCAATTGCATTTGCTGGAGGGGAAGGTAGAGGGGCAGGAAACCAAAAAGAAAGGGCCCTGTGGGCTGTAGAGGGACACTAGACTTTGACGTGTGTCTTGTGTCCTCACCTGCCTCCTGCGCAGCCTCTGAACCCGTGCAGGAACCTGAATCCTGGGCTGACCTTGCAGTGCCCCCCTGCTCCCCAGGGGTGTCCCTGGAGGGCAAAAGCTAGCTGGGAACCAAGGGAAGAATCATCTGAGATCCCCTGAGGGATACAGCATTTTGCACTTTATCCTTGGCATTGAGGGGGATGGACGAAGCCCTTTTATTTTTCTCCGTTTTCTTTTCCAGAACTGGCTCTAAGACCTCCAACCAAAGTCCAGGAAATGCCCCTCCTCCCCACCTTTCACCACCTGCTACATTCAAAGTCCCCCAAAACCCAGAAACTTCCCGGTGAGCCCATTGAATCCCAACCAGATTCTGATATAGAATCATAGAATCATAGAATGCTTAGGGTTGGAAGGGACCTCTAGAGATCATCTAGTCCAACCCCCCTGCATACGCAGGGACACCTAAAGCACGTGGCACAGGACTGCGTCCAAGCGGGTTT